CCCTTGCTTCCTCCAAAGACGAATTCTTCAATGTCCTACTCAGGTGAAATGGCAGTGGGAATGGGTGGGACAGGACACAGCTGCAGTCTGCCCCCCGGCTGCTCAGGATCCAGGGCAAGGGATTGGTCACCAGTATTAAGCCCCATGACCTCATCCTTTGTGTTGGCCAATGTCCCATGCTGGTGAGCTTGGGGTGACCTGGTTTGGTGCTCCCCGCCCGCCCTCCCTGACTGCATGGGTCCTGGCTTCCTCTGCTTCCCTAAGCCAGTTGTGATTCTCAGGTACTTCCCGTCTCCTGAAGATGTGTTGAAATCCTCATTTGCTGACATCTCTTTATCCTTGTGGGTTTTAAATATTTTACTGACATTCTTATACTTGCAAATTTAACATTTTTGGCGTCCTTCATTCCTTTGTGCAGATCCAAGTTTCCATCTGGTATCATTTCCTACCTGAAGCACTCCCTGTAACATTTTCTGCATATCTCCTGGCAATAAATTCTCTTAGCTTTTCTTTATCTGCAAAAGTCTTTATTTTCTCTTCATTTTGGAAGAATATTTTCACTGGATATAGAAGTTTACATTGAGTCTTCTCCCCATCCCCACCATTTTATAATTTCATTAAGCTGTTTTCAGACTTGCAAGCTTCTAATGAAAGTATGGAATATTTCCTGTTTGTTCTGTACATAAAAGGTCTTATTTCTTACAATGCTTTTAAGATTTTCTTTTTCATCACTGTTTTTCAGCATTTGATTATGACGCCTTTAATATATGTACCTATATACATACATGTATACACATATGTATTTTTTTACATATATTTTATTTAGTATTTTAGTATTTTTATTTTATGTGTATGAGTGTATTGCCTGTATGTATGTAAGTGCACCTGTTTTGCGCAATGCCATGGAGGTCAGAAGAGGGAGTTAGATTCCTCTGGAACTGGAGTTAAGGATGGTTCGTAGCCGCCATGTGGGTGCTGGGAATCGAACCCAGGTCCTCTGCAAGAGCAGTCAGTGCTCTTAACCGCTGAGCCATCTCTCCAGCCCCATATATGTATTTTTTTTTTTTTTTTTGAGACAGGGTCTCCCTGTAGCCCCAGCTGTCCTGGAACTCGCTATGTAGACCAGGCTGGCCTTGAACTCACAGAGATCCACCTGCCTCTGTCTCCCGAGTGTTGGGATTAAAGGCGTGTGCCACCACGCCTGGCTGTATTTTTTTTTTTTAATGTGTAGTCCAGGCTTGTCTCAAACTGGTGATCCTCCTGGCGTGCACCACCACAACCAGCTTTAGTATTTCTTTTGAATGAGGTTACTGAGTTTCTTGGTTCTGTAGCTTTATCATTATATTCTACCAACAAATTATCACACAATGGGTGGGTTAAAACAAAAATTTATTCTCTCAGACTTCTTGAGTGCAGCAAGAGGTTCACTCCCTCCAGAGTCTCTAGAGGAGACTCTTGCCTTCCCTTCCCAGCTTTTGTGGCAGTTATTGGCTTATGGCTGTATAGGCTTTGTCTCTCTGTGTGTTTGATAAAGACATTAGTCATTGGATTCTGGAACCATCAAGATAATCTGTGATGATTTCATCTGGAGATCCTGGGCATAATCATATCTACAAATATGAAGGTGGGTGTGGTGGTCCATGCCTATAATCCCAGCACTTGGGAGGCTGAGGCAAGAAGGTGAAGGGTTTAAGGCCAGCCCTAGCTACATAGAGAGTTCAAAGGCAGCCTGAGCTACATAGTAAGTTCAAAACCATCCTGGACTACATAATATTCTGTCTCAGTTCCTCCCTCCTATAAGAACAACAACAATGAGAGAGGAGAGAGAGAGAGAGAGAGAGAGAGAGAGAGAGAGAGAGAGAGAGAGAACCAACAACAATGAGAGAGGAGAAAGAGAAAGAGGCAGAGAGAGACACAGAGAGACACAGAGATAGAGTATTCAAGGCCAACCTGGGATTCATAGTGAGATCTTATCTCAAATATTAAACAAAAGAAAACTCAAAAAAACTGAAACTAATGAAACAAAAGGAAAAGCCTTAAATGTTTAATCTGCTGACAGTTAATTACATCCAGAGAATTTTCATTTCAGACACTGTACTTGTTCTCTTTAGATGGCTTAGTGGGCATTTTTTTCATATTTCCTATTTTTCTCTTGAACATTTTGTTCATACTTCTCTCTAAACACTTGGGCATATTGAGCCCATATTGAGCCCACTGTCCTTTACTTCTGAATGTCTCTCTATTAGTCAGGGTTCTCCAAAGAAACAGAACTGGTAGAATGAATATATATGTATAGAGATTTATCAGCTTAGCTCACAGGATAGAGTCCGAGTAGTTCAACAATGGCTGCACCACACTGGAGAGGCTGAGAATCTGTAGTCACTCAGTCCAGGAGGCTGGATGTCTCAGTAGTCCCAATCTGGCACTGAAAGTCTGACGCATTCCAAAAGATCAGCTAATCTTCAGTCTACAGCAGCAAGACAAACTCACCGGCAAGAGAGAAGGCAAACAGCAAGAAGCCAGCGTTCTCCTCTGCCGTGGCCTTTTATAGGGACTGCCATCAGAAGGTAACACCACATTTAGGGTGTGTCTTCTAGCTTCAGTTAAGAAGATCTCTCTCATTTCAGTTAATCCCAGATCCAGTCAAGTTGACACCCAGGATTAGCCATCACAGTCTCTGTTAAGTGCTTTTCCCTTACAATTATAGGCCGTATTTTCCTACTTTATGTCATATCTAGTAATTTTGGGGTGGAACTTGCTATGTAGACCAGGCTGGCCTCAATCTCACAGTGATCTGCCTGCCTCTGCCTCCCGAGTGCTAGGATTAAAAGTGTGTGCCACTATGCCCAACCTGGGTTGGGGTTTAATAAAGATACTTCATAGGTTTAAGCATGAAGATTAAGATAAAGAGCGATGTTCAGCAGAAAGTAAAACATATCTAAAAGCATGACTGTGGGTTTTTCAAAGAATTGCTGACTAGTTCTCTTTGAGACAGAGTCTCGCTATATAGTCCAAGTTGGCTTGGAACTTGCAATCCTCTTGCCTTAGCTTCCTGAGTGCTGGGAGTACAGGCATGAGCACCACCAAGTCAGCTTTCTATCTAGTCTAGCAAATTTTGACTGGATGTTGGACATTATAGATATACTAAGCACTTGGATTTTGTTGTCTTCCTTTAAAGAGTGTTAGACTTCTTTTTAGCAAATTAAGTAAATTACTTGCAAATGAGTATGGTCCTTTGGAGGCTAAATCTCAATCTGTTAAGGAGGGTGGCTCCAGGAGAGCCTTTTTTCTAGGGGTAGTTTAGCCCTACTATGAAGGCACAGTACTTCTGGGGTCTGTTAAATCCATTGGGAAGGCAACAACACACATAGGCTTGAGTTTCTCTGAGAATTCATCTCTCTGCATTGTTTTGTATAATCTTGTTGAGTTTCACTGTACACATGTGAGGTTTGATATTCAGTGAAGACTCAAAGGGACCCTGTGCAGAGGAGCTCTTCTCCCTGTCCCCCCTCAGATTTCATTCTTTTCCAGAACTCTACTTTCCATCTTCTAGCTACCTCACCCTCCCTGGATTCCTGTCTCACAACTCAGTGAGCCCACCATGGTCTGCTGGTGATTCCTCTCTGGATAGCAGTCTGGAATATTCCTCTTGGGAAGTCCTAAGGCCCATGTTGTATTTTCCTAATCTCAGGGAGCCCACTATGAGACTGCCTGTTACCTAACATCAGAAAACAATTATTTCAAATCAATAGCTACCTCATTATTTTCAGTATAATTTTAGTTACCTCATCATGGTTGTAAGAGAAGTCTTTTTTTTTTTGTCTTTTTGAGACGGGGTTTCCCTATAGTCCCGGCTGGCCTTGAGATCTGCTTGCCTCTGCCTCTTGAATGATAGGACCATCATACCTGGCTAAGAACCATTTGTTCTTTTTTTAAAATTTTTAAAATTAAAAAAAAATTTTATGTGTGTGAGTGTTATGCCTGCATGTAGGTAAATGCACCCATGTTGTACAATGCCCGCAGAGGACAGAAGAGGCTGTCGAATCCCCTGGAACCAGAGTTATAGACAGTTGTTAGTTGCCATGTGGGTGCTGGGATTTGAACCTGGGTCTTCTGCAAGAACAGTCAGTGTTCTTAACTGCTGAGCCATCTCTCTAGCCCAAGAGAAGTCTTTTACTGGCGTTTTAGTCAAGTTTCAGAAAGGAGTTAACATGTATCTGGTCAGTTCACTGAATTTAACTGGAAGCCCTAGACTCCTGAGATATATTTAAATATTTATGTGAGACGCATATGCTTTTATCACACAATAAAATTGCATGCAATGGAACATTATTCACAAAATCAGGATTCATGTAAAATGTCAAGACATGCGTCCCACAGGTACCACACCCAGCTTTGAAGTTGGCCGTGAGTTTGTTCTTTGCTTTTAGTGTACTATTAAACATTTTTATTTTGGGGCATTTTGATTAGTACTTAGCATAGGCTAGCCTTGAACTCACTACCCTCCTGCTTCAGCCTTCCCAGTGCTGGAATTATAGGTGTATGCCACCACCCCTGGAAATATGCCTGTATTATCATATCTGTTTGCCAACCCTTAGTCAGCTATCATGCCAATGCTGTGAATTGGTGATGCTTCTTGAAGGTGTGGTGAGACCTCTTGGGTAGTGCCAGCTGTAGGAACCCTTCTTGGCTGACATTCTCTTTGAACCACCCTTCAGTCTCTGGCTCACTTTCTGCAGGTGGCCCACTGGGCCTTGGAGAAGGTAAGCCTGCCTGGGAGCCTAGGAAGACAGGAAGGAAGGCCCTCACTCTACTCTCCCAGCGCTCCTTTCAGTTCTGACTCTCATGCCCCTCTCCACTCACTGGGCCACAGCTCATCATGTTGGTCTCTCATTAGCTGGGCCAGGTGATGTGGCCTGAAGGCTGCTACCTGCTGTGTTGTTAGGCCCATGTCAGATGCTTCAGAAGTGACCAGGCCCCAATCTCAATTCCTTCCCTAGGCGGACATTGAGCAGCTGGATCCCCGTGGTCGGACTCCCTTGCACCTGGCCACCACATTGGGACACCTGGAGTGTGCCCGCGTGCTCCTAGCTCATGGTGCAGATGTTGGCAGGGAGAATCGCAGTGGTTGGACAGGTGGGCACCCTTTTATCCTAGCTCTTCGGCCACTGTCAGGTACTCACTTGGAGTGGACTGAAGATCTCACCATGTGACATTCCCCTACCTCAGTACTGCAGGAGGCTGTGAGCACCCGGGACCTGGAGTTGGTGCAGCTGGTGTTGCGGTACCGGGACTACCAGCGGGTGGTGAAGCGCCTGGCGGGCATCCCCATGCTCTTGGAGAAACTGCGTAAGGTGAGACCCAGCTTCCCATTTGCCAGACAGGGCCCTGCACCCTGATTCTACTGCTGTCTCAGCCCCTCCCTTTGTCATCCTCCAGGCTCAGGATTTCTACGTGGAGATGAAGTGGGAGTTCACTAGTTGGGGTAAGAGGGGCTGAACAGAGGCCACTCTGGCCTGGGGGCCTTTTTGCTCACTGTCCCTCTGACCAGAGAATGGTCCCCTGCTCTTCACAGGGCTCATTTTCCCCTTCTAGCTCTCAGCTCAATGCCAGCTCAATGCCAGATCTCTCTGGACTGCCTCTGGCACTCTCTTGCTTCCATTAGTATTTCATGCTAATGATTTGCTTTTTGGTTACCTGTTACCCCTTGCTAGAAGGTAAAGCCTAATAGGGCAGGAGCCCTGACTTTTTCAATGTTGTGTTCCTAATGACTGGAATAGTGCCTGGCATGTAGTAGGTGTTCAGTAAATACTTGTTAAAAGCATGGATGGGCCAGGCATAGTGGTGCATGTCTTTAATCCCAGTACTCAGAGTACTGGGAAGGCAGAGGCAGGTAGAACTTTGTGAGTTCAAAGTCAGCCTGGTCTACATAGTGAGTTCCAGGCCACCTGAGGTTACAGGGAGACCCTATCTGAAAAAAAAAAAAAAAAAAAAAAAAAAACTGGAGGAAAAAGAGAATAAATATAAAAGGGGGGGCCTAAAAAAAGGGGTGCTTGAACCCCCCCCTGAACCCACCCCACGGTGTGAAAAAAAAAAAAAAAAAAAAGCCTGGATGAATAGATGAATGAATATATACAGTGGGTGCTAGAAACAGTGCTGATTGAGCCACCCCCTGTACCCAACCTCAGGTTGCTCAAATATGAGAAGCTGTGGTCTACATTGGGGGTGGGGCTGAAGGAAGGGGTACTCCCTTGCAAGCTCTCTGGTCCTTTTCTGGCTGTACTACTACCCCTAACTTCTATGTCCCAAGCTGACCCAGGTTACTGGGCCAGAAACAAGTTCATTCTGATTTTCATTTCTACCCAGTGCCCTTGGTATCCAAGATCTGTCCTAGTGACACTTACAAAGTGTGGAAGAGTGGGCAGAACCTGAGGGTAGACACCACGCTTCTGGGCTTTGACCATATGACCTGGCAGCGAGGGAATCGCAGCTTCGTCTTCAGGGGCCAAGGTCAGGCAGACAGGAAGTAGGGCAGGGTTGGGGAAGGTGGCAGTCAGCTTCAGACCACCCTGACCCCTGTGCTGTTCCATGGTGGCAGATACGAGTGCTGTGGTCATGGAGATTGACCACGATCGCCGTGTAGTATACACAGAGACCCTGGCACTGGCCGGGCAAGACAGGGAGCTGCTGCTGGCTGCTGCCCAACCGACTGAAGAACAGGTCCTGAGCAGACTTACTGCACCTGTCGTCACCACACAGCTTGACACCAAGAACATCTCCTTTGAGAGGTGAGTAGGTATAACCTGGCTAGCCTAGAGCCAGCCTGATGGGTGACCACTTCACCTGGACCGCTCTACATCCCTAGGAACAAGACTGGCATTCTGGGCTGGCGCAGTGAGAAGACAGAGATGGTGAATGGGTATGAAGCCAAGGTGAGGCCACAGCTCCTGGTCCTAGAGCCAGCAAGGCCAAGGAAAGGGCTCCAGACCTGCCCTCCCCAGCCTTGCAGGCACAGAGGCAATGCAACATGGAAGAAAGGCATCAGACCAATAGTCATCCCAAGAGAAGGGAATTTACAGAGCACTTAGGATATTTACAACTAAGAATCTGTACAACTACCTATACTGTATGCACACGTAACTTCATGTAATCCTCAGAACAGGCAGGTGCTCTTAATGCCCACTTTACAGATGGGTACTGAGCCTTTTCCATGATAGCCCATTTAATCTTAAGTACGCCACCAAGGAATTGCTAGCCTGTTTCTGGCCAACAAATGAAGAAATAAAGATTGGAGTGGTTCACTGATCTCTTACAATTATTGTAACTTACACCTGACTTGCACAGTTGTAAGTGACAGAGCTGGTGGTCATATCCTGACCTACCTGGCCTCAAAGCCAGGTGTTCATCTTCTAAAAGTCTGTCTGTCACTCTGGGATCTCATCTGCTTAGCTGATGATGAAGGAAGGAACTGACAAAGGGTTCAAGGTTCTGGACATGTCTCCTACAGAAGTTCTCCCTGGTTCTGTAGGTGCAGATAAGGGCCCTTAGGTGCCCCCAATAGGACATGTATCCCACTGTGTTATAACTGCCCATTGTCTTTCTCAAGGGGGTAAGGATTGTATCTGGTTTGTTCATCCTTGTATCCTTGCTGTCCACCTCAATGGCTTCCATGTAAAAGCTCCTCAAACCTCTTGACTGGCCTGGTTGGGGAAGTAGCTCAGTTGTAGAACACTTGCCTAGTGTACCAGAGGCCCTTGGTTCAATCCCCAGGACCATAAAAGAAAAGGCTTGTTGAGTGGATAACTAAATGAATGAATGACTTGATAGATTTACTTGTCCACATGCTGTGGGATTGAAGCAAAAATCTCCTCCAAGACCTTTTATTAGAGGAGTGTTTAGTATTCCCTTGAGCAGGGTACTAGAGCTGTCTCCAAGCCCCTTCTTCTCTGTCCCCAGGTATATGGGGCATCCAATGTGGAGCTCATCACACGGACACGGACAGAGCATCTTTCAGAGCAGCATAAGGGCAAGGTCAAAGGTAAGAGGCTGAGGCAGATGGGGAGAGGTTTTGCAGAATTGGAGGAGCCAGCTCCTGTTTGCATGCCCACATCATCATTCTCTTTGGCAGTCCAGCAAGAGCCAGGATAGCTATAATCAGACAAGTAGATTTCAATTCAAGTAGGTGTCTAAAGTACTGCAAAGAGGATTCCTAGGGCTCATTTAGGCTCAGTGAAAAGGCATGCTACAATTGATTAGTAATGTCTGTATTGCATTTAGGAGAGAAAGGTCATGCACACCACTGATTGGTTATTCTAGTCATCTGACACAAAACCTGGGTAGAAAGTCAGAGAACCTGACCACTGATTCTTTGTGCTTACTTCTATCACACATGATTCACTGGGCATCAGTTAACCTGCCTCAAGTGGAAACATAATTCCTACTTCACATGAGAACAAAATGAAGTCATTAATATGGAAATACCTGAAGGGAAGCATACATGGGTATCCCTAAACTGCTTACACACATAGGTACCCCTAAACTGCTCACAAAAGACATGCATTTTGCTGTCTATTGTCACCAACCTGGAGAGTGGTAAGTTGGGAAGTTTCTCCTGAGCCTTAAGTGTCATTTTATCCCTCCTGACTTTCCAGTGGTCCTGGACCCTGCTCCTAGCAGTACTCAGTCACTTTTAGATGAAGGTGCCTGGGAATGTGGTATGGGTGAGCTACCCCCCACCCCAGGTGCTGGTTAGGTCTTGGGTGCTGATCCTGTGGTGAGATGTGCACGGGGCTGCCGTGTCCTGAGAGCCCACATTTCTTCTAGGCTGTAAGACACCATTGCAGTCTTTCCTTGGAATTGCTGAGCAGCATGGGGGCCCCCAAAATGGGGTGAGTATGTGACAGGGGTGTTACTGTGTGCAGGGTTATGGGTATGGCTCAGGAGGTGGCTTGGGTGGAGTCTTGCTTAGCATGACCTATGTGGACTTCCCACAATGCCCAAGGCCATGTCCACTCTATGCTGGCTTGGGGGAGAGCTGGGGGACCCGTAGCACCAACCCCTGATCTGGCATCTGGGATTGAGGACTTTTGGACCTTCCCATGTGGTACAGACCCTGATCACCCAAACCCTGTGCCAAGCCAACCCCACTGCCATCACCGCAGAAGAATACTTCAACCCCAGCTTTGAACTTGGCAACAGGGACATGGGCCGGCCCATGGAACTGACCACCAAGACGCAGAAGTGAGGCTTCCTGCTCTTAATGCGGAGGGATGGGCAGGGCTGGGGCTCCAAGAGGTGCTGGGAGGCCATGGCTTCCTGCAGCATTCCTCACCCCTTGGGATCTGGGGGGCCAGGTTCAAGGCCAAGCTGTGGCTGTGTGAGGAGCATCCATTGTCCCTGTGTGAGCAGGTGGCTCCCATCATTGACCTCATGGCCGTCAGCAATGCGCTCTTTGCCAAGCTTCGGGACTTCATCACTTTGCGCCTGCCTCCCGGCTTCCCTGTCAAGATTGGTGAGAACCTTGCTGTCCCGTCTCCTCATTTCTTCTCGGTCATTTTGAGGTGTGAGGTTCGGAGGAGGTCTGGGCAGCAGGTCTAAGGTGTGAGGGGGTAGGCGGTGGTGGCTGATGGCTTCTCATCTTCAGAAATCCCGATCTTTCACATTCTCAACGCCCGCATCACCTTTGGGAACCTCAATGGCTGTGATGAGCCCGTACCCTCGGTGCGAGGCAGCCCCAGCAGTGAGACGCCCTCCCCAGGCAGCGATTCCTCCAGCGTCAGCAGCTCCAGTTCCACGAGTGAGACTCTCCACTCCCCTCAGGCCCTGCCCTGTCAAAGTTCAGCTCCATTCCCTCCCCACCACCATGGGTGAGCTCAGCCCAAGCCTTACCCCTGGCTCACGCCCTACCCCTGGCTCACGCCCCGCAGCCTCGTGCCGTGGCTGTGAGATCTCCCCTGCGTTGTTTGAAGCCCCACGAGGCTACAGCGTGCTGGGTGGCCAGCGAGAGGCAGCAGCTCGCGACGACGACGACGACCTGCTGCAGTTTGCCATCCAGCAGAGCCTGCTTGAGGCGGGCAGTGAGTATGACCAGGTGTGTGCCTGCTGCCTTGGGGCCACTGCCCCAGCTGGTAAGCCCGGGTAACAGGCTCTCCCTCCAGGTCACCATCTGGGAGGCTCTGACCAACAGCAAGCCAGGCACCCACCCCATGTCCTATGAGAGTCGCCGGCAGGACAGGTCAGTGCCCACCTGGGTGGAAGAGAGCTTAGAGGTGCCTGTTGGCTTTCCTACCCCCAACACACATGCACAGAGAGAGACCCCTCGCTACCCCATCACACTGAGCGTGGACACTGGAACAGCTAGGCCCAGAAAACGCCTAGGGCCTTCAGCAAGGCTCTACCAGGTGTGGAGATGGCTTCTGCCGCCCGGTTTCCTGGCACAGGGTTGGTGGCCAGTGCTCCAGTGGCCATCCCCTAGTGGGGATCTAGCTGACTCCCTGTATGTTCAGAACCTCACCAGACAGGAGGCTGGGACCTGGGATCTGCCACCATCGGGCAGGGCCAGGACAGCCCAGCAAAGGTCATCGCCTCCCTCAGTGGGTGGTGAGCCTGCTCAGCCCAAGGGCCTCCACGATGTCTCCTGCCCCCGCCCCCGCTTACAAGCAGGTGTGCCTCCCCGCCCCCAGGAGCGCTCCGCCCACGCCACTGCGGCAGTCCGCGCCGCCTGCACCGGTGCCCAGCCCTCGGCCCAGCCCTGGCTCAGGCTCCAGGGGCCACGTGTACCGGAGCTACGACGAACAGCTGCGGCTGGCGATGGAGCTGTCTGCGCAGGAGCAGGAGGAGCAGCGGCGACGCGCGCGCCAGGAGGAGGAAGAGCTGGAGCGCATCCTGCGACTCTCGCTGACCGAACAGTAGCGCCCCCTGCTGGGACCCTCGCCCACTCCACGCAGGACCCGACCTGGGACCCCAGGGAGACACCGTGGCCTGTGCATCTGCCAAGCCGCAGCTGGATTCTGGAGCCATCGCTTGGGGGTGTAGCACCGCACCAGGCATGAGTCAGGAGGGGTTTGACCTGGGCGTGGGGTAATTTTCCAGGCCAGAGCCCTAGAGGTGCAGCTGGCCCCCTGCTTTGCTGTATGGTGACCCCCAGCCCGCTTTCTGGGCTCAGATCTGTCCAAGGGCGGGAGGCAGGCGGTACTGAAAAGGAAACGAATCCTTAGAGGAGCATTGTCCCCATCCCTTGCTCCTTCTTTCTCCTCACTGACCCCACTCCAGGACACTGCCCCTGAAGCCTTTGCATCTCAGCTCTTCACCCCTGGGGAGGCAGCTGAGCTCCCAGCGTGCTGTGTCGCTGCTTTGTCCCAGACACAAACCAGCACATCAAGGGCCCAGCCCCTCTCCCACCCCGGCATTTCAGCGTCAAGTGCACTTAGCGGGGTGCCCGGCTCCCCCAGCTCCCACACCTGTCCTGTGTCTCAGGGTGGTCCCAGCTTCTTAGGCACCCAGGGGTTGAAGTTTCCATGCCCAAAGCACGTTTTTTTTTGTGTGTGATCAGAGAGTATGTCCAAGGTGCCCCCTGAGTCTGGGTAAGGCTTGATTTCCCTCCTGGTGCCTTGGACAGTGGGGGAGGCTTATTGACTTGGGGAGGCATATTGGCTTGGAGGCAAGTACTAGACCCAACACAAAGGGGTTGATCAGGACCCTGGCATGGCCACCTACCCCTTCCCACCAGCTGCTGCTAGCCCTCTGTGGTTGTGCATCCCTCTTGCCCCAACTCAGGGGCTGACTAAAACCTTTTATCCAATGGTGCTAACTCCCGGCTCTCCCTGTCCTGCCCTACCCACCCAGAGAAGCACAGGCCCCAAGGGGGGCAGGGACCCACTGCACACCCTTGTCCTCTGCCTCCTTCTGACTGGCCTTCCCTGGCTCAGCCAGTGAGGCTCAGAAGGGGCACAAAAAGGGGAAAGAAGAAAAGAGCAACAAAGAGAAATTGTTCCTCCCACTCCCTTCCCTGATGCCAGGGGCACCAGACTGATTTTGAGGCACAAATAAAAGAGGCTTCAAAAGGAATGTTTTTCTACCTAACTTTACTGGGAGTGCACATGGTGGGTGGGAGGTGGGGTCCTTTGAAACTGATGTTGATGATGGCTAGTTCTAGGGTAAGAAGCTGCCTGGGTTGCCCTCAGCCCTGCCTGCATTGACTAGGTTCCCCAGGATTCCAGAGGAAAGGGAGTTCCCTTCCCCCACCCATGCAGGAGGCACAGACTTGAACTTAGAATGTTTCATTCATCATGCCTTGATTTCTTTATAGATTCAAGGCCACAGCAGAGGCAGTGTGTGTGTGTGTGTGTGTTCTGCTGAGATTTCTCTGGTGGGGTCTAACTCCTCTCTAGCAGTAGAAAGTAGGCAGAGAGCGCTCATAGGCTGCCTTGATTTCTTTATAGATTCAAGGCCACAGCAGAGGCAGTGTGTGTGTGTGTGTGTGTGTTCTGCTGAGATTTCTCTGGTGGGGTCTAACTCCTCTCTAGCAGTAGAAAGTAGGCAGAGAGCTCTCATAGGCTGCTGGGTGAAGCCAGTGGGTTGAGCTCTGCAGGCAAAGGGTTGTGCATGTATCTGCAGAACTAAGGAGCTGCTGGGTTTGGTTTTCCACTCAGTATGGTGGAATTGAGTCAGCTGATTAGGGGAAATGCGGCAATTTTCCTGAGACTCTGGGCAGACTGTTGAAATCATCATCCTTTTGAGGTCAAGCCCAAGCTCCCCAGTATCCCCAGACATCACGCTAATGCTAAGCACCTCTCTTGCCCTGGGTGAGGGACAGAGAGGTGGACACCACCTCACCAAGCAGCCCCTTTGCTAAGGAGGCATTATCCCTGGGCCTCCCTAGGCCTGATCCTGCAGAGTCTGGGACCAAGCTCAGAGCCTAGAGCCCCTACCCTTTAAACCCCTTACATCAAGGCCTCCTGTGGGGGGCAGAGTTTCTTTTCCAGTCCCCCGCCCCCAATCCCAACCCAGAGAGGAAGGGCGCGACAACCCAGACCAAAAGCCCGACATCCCAGACCAAAAGCCCGGGCTGCAGAGTCCCGGTGCCCTGCTTCTGCCCTTCGCCGCACGAATGCAGTTCTAGTCCGTGCCATCCACCAGCTCACACAGCATGTTCTCCAAAGCCGTGATGCGCTCCTCCTGGGCCTGTACCCTTTCACGAAGGGCCTTGATCTCCTCAAGCAGTGTCTCAAGGGTATGCTGCTGCTGAGACGTGGAAGACGGAAGAGGCTGTGATGGAGAGCACGTGGCAGAGGATGTAGAGACTGGGCCAGGATGGAGTGGGCCGGACCTTGGTTCTTACCAACAAGGGGGCTTCACTGGCTGACTGGCTGCGTCGGGGGCCCGAGGGTGGGTGCACATCTAGGATGTTGCGCTTGGTGATCCGGAGCTCGCGGTGCTTAGGGGGTACATAGCCGTCCTTCAGCGAAATGAGCACAGGGTCGGCGTCCTGACCGGATAGCCACTCCTCTGCTTCCAGGGCTGGCTCCGGGCCCGGCGTGTCCGGGTATAGATCGTCCTGGAAAAGGTCTGACTGAGGGGGTAGGTGGACAGGTGGACGAGAGTGAGCCCTGGAGCTGGTCGGACTGCACTCCCTTCCACCACATCCAAGCTCTGCCCAGCCCCTCTCCAGTTCCTCACCTTTCGGGGCACAGTCATGATGATGGGTTCACACTTTCGTTCGTGCAACTTGTAGAACCTATGAGGGAGCAGCGTTCAGCACTCGTGCAGACTCCCTTTTCCCCCTTAAAATTCTGTTGTCTGAGCGACTACCATATGCGCATTGCACACACTATCAATTTTGGGTTAAAAATCTCTGGTGGATGTCACAGAATGTCAGGCTGGTGGGTGCTGGAGCTGCCACTGAAAATTGTCTGGTTTGATTTCTCCCTCTTTTTCTTTTTTCACTGTTGGGGAAGCCCCAGGGGTTAAAAGTTGACAAGTAGGGGACAGAGGCAGGGGGCCAGGAAGGGCCAAAGTGCTGACCGGGCGATCTCACACTTGCTGACATCCAGTCCACGCTTGGGCATGAAACCCATGCCTCGCTGCGGCTCTTTGCTGCCGAACGTGTTCAAGTAGTGCACGAAAGGTGGTTCATCCGTAATTTCAAAGTACCGAATGCTACTGTCACCCTGCAAAACCAGTGGGTTCAGAGGTGTTCCCAGGCAAGGCCCTCACATCTTCATCCTGCCCCTGGTCCTCCCCACCCGGCCTCAAGCACCTTGCCACACAGGTAGACAATGCTGGAGTCAGGATCGTAGAACGGCAGTAGTACTCCGTTGCTTGTGTCCATCTCCTGCAGTGCCACCGGCTCTTCGAAGTTGTTCTGCTGAGCACAGGAGGCGTGACCAGCCCTGCTCATTCTCTTGGACTACTTTGGAATTCACCGTGGGCTCCTGCCCACCCCAAATCCCATGCGTTCCCATGGCGGCTCTGTTGAGAGCTACAGACTCCTCTTACATAGATCATCCCCTTCCCTGGCACACGCACACCCTGTGCGGTTGCATGCAGTCACAGCAAACCACCCCCGGGCACTCGGCATCACCAGGAGGGGGCGCCAGCGCGAGCTCCTTCAGGCGACGCTGCAAAACTGGGCAGAGGATTGGATTTGAGGATGGCAGGCGCTGAGGAGGTGGCCGCAACCCTTCAGCCCTGTCCTGGAGGGCATACCCTGCGGGTGGGGGCGTCTGGCCCCTCTCCCGTGATGCCAGTTCCCGGGACACACACCCCAAGCTTCCAGCTGTGTTACCGGGTCCCACAGGCCCAGCTCTCGCTGGCTCATGCGGGTGAATCCCGTGGTGAAGATATGACCCTGGCGCGTGAAGACAGCCCGCATGGGCCTCATCCCCTCGTGGGCTGCAAACCTCTCCTGGGGGGAGGGGGAGAAGGGAGGAGCATCACCTTGCTGCCTACCCTGGGGAAGGTGGAGAGCGGAGCAACCAATTTGCCGACCTGGGTGTGGGATAGAGGTGGAGTGGGGGCAGGGACAAAGGGTCCTAAGAATGGAGCTTCCCGGAGGTCAGTTGGACCCTGGCCTGGGGAACTTCTGGGCGGGGCTCTCCACAGGTCCCAGCCCTTCGCCCTCCAAGGCTCATCCCTAGTGCAGGTGATGTCTGCTGGCTCCCTGGGGTCGCAAGTGCGGCTTTCCCTCTTGGGCCTCTAGAGCCCCAGCCATCACTCAGGAGGGCGCTCCTAGCTGAGCCAGCAGAGGAGCGAGCGAATGGCCCGGCGCGGCCTGGCCTACCGGGTCCCAGAGTGCGAGTTGCCGCTCACTCATCCTGCTGAAGCCGGTGCTGAGCAGCTTCCCGTCTGCGGTGAAGACGGCCCGCAGCGGGCGGGCGCCCTCGTGAGGCCGGGCTCGCTCCTGCTCGCGGGGTTAGTGGGTTAGAGTGCCCGCCCGCTCTGGGACGCAACGCACCCGTGAGCGCTCCACGCAGACATGCACGCGCCCTGCACCCCAGGTTAGATTGAGGCTGTCGAGGAGAGGGCTATACTTCTTCCAGAGCACCCAGCGAGGACGAGCAGTGCTTGAGGGTTGCCCCATTCCCGCCCACCCAGTGGGTCAATAGATGGGAAAGGGCCAGGCCTCCAGCCACTGATCAGGCCAGAGACCCTGGAAGATGGTGCTGAATGGGCTAGAGGAGAGGGTCCTGGAGCTCAGGTTTCACACGGGTTCTGGTTGGAGAATAGTTTCCAGCTTCTCTGATCAAAGCAAGGAGCCCTCCTCTGACCTTCGGAGATGCATGGCAGGGGAGGGAACAGGAGCAGCAGGAGGATAGTGGTCTAGTGGTTTACTCAGGGCAGGGGCTGTGGTTGTAGAGACTGTGGGTGGTGGTGGTGGGGCATGACTAATCTCTGGAGTAGGGGTGGGACAGGTAAAAGCTGGGACTGGGGCCCTGATGGTTGTGGGTATAAGATGCTAACAGCTGGTCACCGGGCTGCTAGGTAGTGACTAGGCCAGGCACTCACCGCTACCACTTGGCTCTTCCGGGGATCAATGATGCGCAGAGTCTTGTCCTTGCAGGTGGTGGCCAGCAAGCTACCATTGCTGTTCCAGCACACACTATGGATGACGTCAGGGTGCATGTCGTCCAGGCTCAGCAGCACCTCCCCAGTGCCCACATTCCAGATGATGATCACATTATCACCACCTATCCAGAGTGGCCAGGTGTGGTCATCTGGGCCCTGTCTTCGACATCCCCACCCTCATCTATAGTAGGGATGCTTTTAAACCCCCAGACCTGCACTGAGCAGGACATTCCTGGCAGTAGGGTGCCAAGAAAGGATGCCCACACGCTTGGAGTGGCCCTCAAGAGTGATGACAGGTTCTGTGATGTTTCGCACAGGGGTATAGTCTGGAATCTGCCACACCTAGGTAGGAGGAAAAGGCAATGGTGAGATAAGGAGTTGGTTCTGCTCCCTCAATCCTATTGGCTCTCTTGAGTGGCAAAGGTCAAGGTGTGGCGGTGCTTTCCTGGGCAGAAGCACTTCAGAAGCAGGAGGTTGGCCAGAGACTTCCCCACTCACCCTGTCAGGGAAACTTCAGAGCATTGTACCCCTGTGCTTAGGGCTCCAAGGTGTCCATGGCTATAATTAGTTCTAAGCAGTGCATTCTGGGAGGGAGTGGGCATGTAGTTAAAAATAGCCTGGGAAATGGGCAGGATAGGGCAGGGCTCTGGGACTCTGCACCTTCTATCACTATAGGTGAGGCACCTTCCTGCTCCCCTGCCCAACTACCTGGCAGCATCCACCTGGCTCCTACCATGATGGTGGTGTCGTCTGAGGCACTGGCGATGACATTGTCGTTGTGTGGGCACCAGTCAATATCCAGCACGGGGCCAGTGTGCCCAGTGACCAGTGGGTAGTTCTTATCCACTCGTCCTGTCTAGAAGGATCAGAGAGAGAGATATGGAACCATTCTTGTGTGTGTGTGTGTGTGTGTGTGTGTGTATGATTTTGTGGTGCTGGGGATTGAGCCCAAGGTCTAGCACTTGCTAAGCAAATACTCAGCCACTGAGCTGCATCCCCAAATGGGCAGTGGATCTATTTACCTCTCAATTCTGTATCATTAATTTTCTTTTTGCAGACCTTTCTTAGCTTCTAACCCCATCTGTCCATTTTATAAACTTTGCTGAAGGCAGACAGAGTTGAAATCATTTGTATTAAGGAATCTGATACAGAGAGGTAGGATGACTTAACCAAGGACCCACAGCAAGATACCAGTAGAACCCAGATTTGATTAGGTTCAGTGCTCTTCAAAAGACACATACTTATGGATTTTTTCCTTCCTACCTACCTTCCTTCCTTTCCTTTCCTTTCCTTTCCTTTTTTTTTTGTCTTTTTGAGACAGCGTCTCCCTGTAGACCCACCTGGCCTGGAACTCAGTATGTAGACTAGGCTGTCCTTGAACTCACAGTGATCTGCCTGCCTCTGCCTCCCGAATGCTGGGATTAAAGGCATGCACCACTATGCCTGGCTTTGTTTTCTTTTTGAGACAGGGTCTCACTATACAGCTCTGGCTGGTCTTTCTGTGTAGATCTATGTAGACCAAGCTGGCCTCAAACTCATAGTGCTGGGATTAAAGATATGTACCATCATATCTGGCCTTTTTATTTTTTTAAACATAAGGGCTCATTATGTAGCTTTGATTGATCTTGAACATGTGATCCTCTTGCCTTGGCCTCCCCAGTGCTTGGATCATAGGAATGTTATCACCATGCCCTGTGAGGAGGCTGTTCTTAGGTCTGTTCCCCCAGTTGGAAAGTCTGTGGGAAGCCCCTGGTTGAAGAGGTCAAGGTGAGTGACCTTGAACACAGTGTCCCAGCCCCTGGGGTGGATCTTTCCACTGTCACTAGTTTCACCTTGGAAGCACAGGCAGTAGGTTATCCTGGTGCTCACTATCCCTTAACTGGGGCTGGAGGCCCACTTATTTTTGGTCTTCATCAATTGACTCTAGGGGTATGAAGTCTCTGCAGGGGCTGGCACTGGTCCAGACAAGGCAGTCTAGGAGAGAGGGTGACTATATGGCACTGAAATGGCAGTTGTACTGGGGGAGGAGGTGGCTCTAGTTGAAATTTGAGCCCTGGGATGGTGTCTGGATGGTGTCTGCATTGTTCAGGGTGAGTCATAGGCTATTGTCAGGCCTCTTCCTGACCCTGCCACTGGTAAGGCCTCCTCTGGCAAGGTATAGGGGCCAGTATCTAGGTCAAGGTCATGCTTTGGGTATCTATCCTTAGGTGTAGAGATGGCCAAGGGTCTTGAGGTTACTCTGCAAAGATGGTAGTCATTGCCTGGTCTCTTTCCCTAGGGTATGGGGAGGACTCTGGTCTTATGTGCTTTTTCCCTCCCTTTACTCTCCTACCTTGTTGCCTAGACTGGGAAGGAGGATCTCTAGGCTGCAAATGTGTGTGTGTGTGTGTGTGTGTGTGTGTGTGTGTGTGTG